ATAAATAGTTATTTAATAATTAAAATACATTATTAATTTAAAATATTATTTATTTTTATTTAAGTTTTAATCAAATATTTATTTATTTGTGTTATCATTAAAATCTCTTTCACTGTTCCTATTATTTTTATTGATGATTCTTACTGTAATCCAAATATTTTTACTGTATTTCACAAAAATTCCACAGAGAATTTGAATTAGCTTATATTAGCAGTTTGGTCATCTGTTGACATGATTTGATAGAGACTTATACACAGTTGTGTGTTTCTCAGGTCAATCTGAAGGAGCAGGGTCAGCTTCGCTGTCAGGACGAGTTCATCGTTTGGTGCGGACGCAAAAAATACCTGCGCCACGTTTTCCTTTTCGAGGATCTCATCCTCTTCAGCAAGACCAAGAAGATTGAAGGAGGATACGACATCTACATCTACAAACAGTCCTTCAAGGTACAGAATACGAGTCTGGTGTCAGACCGCAGAGTGAGTTTTGTGAGATGAAGAGTGTTTGTTCTCGTCTCAGACGGCTGAGATCGGGATGACGGAGAGCGTGGGAGACAGCGGGCTGCGCTTCGAGATTTGGTTTCGCCGGAGGAAATCACAGGACACCTTCATCCTGCAGGCCGCTTCTGGAGAGGTGAAGAACGCCTGGACCTCCATCATCGGCAAGATCCTGTGGAGACAAGCCTTACGAAACCGAGGTCAGACAGCAGCATCCCAATGCATGACATAAATAAATATGTGACCCAGAATAAATAATCTTTCCATTGATGTATGGTTTGTTATGATAAGAATGGAACATGATCTTTACTTAATATCCTAATGATTTTTGGCATAAAAAAAAGATCCATACAATGTATTGTTGGCTATTGCTACAAATATACCCGTGCTACCTAAGACTGGTTTTGTGCTTCATGGTCGCATATTTGTTTATATATCATATGCCTAAATTTATGTAACATTTTACTTCTAAAAATATGGTTACAATTTTTTTGTTCCTTCTGTCATTTGACAGTATTTTCAGTTTATAGAGTGATCAAAAAGAGAAATCCAAAATCTGCAATCCAAAACAATATTTAAAATATTAATTTATTATAATTATTTTTATTTGAGAAAGTTTGATTTAAATAAATAATTATATTATTTAACTTAATTTATTTGATTAAATCATATTTAATGTAAATAAAATACATAATTATTTAATAATTAAAATAATATAAATAATTTTATTTTAAAAATTTGTTTTGATATGAGTCTTTTTTGAATAAACGTTATGCAAATAAATAAGTGTATTTATTTATTTATTTATTTGATTTAAATAAAATAAAATAAATATTTAATAAAACAAATAATTAAAAATATAATTATTTATTTATATGAATACATTTTATTTAAATAATTATTTTATGTATCGTCGTGTCGCCGTTATGTATCTAAATAAGTGACTAAAATAAATAGTTATTTAATAATTAAAATAAATTATTAATTTCATTAAATCTCTTTCACTGTTCCTATTATTTTTATTGAAGATTCTTACTGTAATACAATAATTTTTACTGCGTTTCACAAAAATTACACAGAGGACATGACACAAATAAATATTTGTTTATATATCATTTGTTTGTTTATATATCGTTTGCCTAAATTTATATAACATTTTACTTCTAAAAATATGGTTAAAATTGATTTTTTTTTTCTTCTGTAATTTGACATTATTTTCAATTTATAGAGTGATTAAAAAGAAAAATCCAAAATCTCCTCTGGAAAAAAACTTTAATTCTAATATGAATTTCAATCAGTTTATGAGAAATGAATGCTCATCCTTAACATAACACGTATTTTATACATAATTTTTATATCTAATATGATTATAGATAAATAGATTAAAA